GAAGCGGATATCGTCCTCTTTTGGAAGGCCAAACAAAGTAGTTTCGCTTTCACAATGATACACACAGCGTCTCCACGACATGGCGGCGGCGGCGGCAACAACAATACTACTACAGCGAGAATAAAAGTTACGCCTTCTTTCTTTGCGTGAACTTTTGGGCGATGTTATGCAAATCTTCCCACACAGAGACGTAGACATGTGGGGGTGTGTTTAAACGAGGCGTTTTAGGAGGGCGTGGACAATTCTTAACTTTGATAAAGAATATCTCTTTGGGTTTGAGACTTTAGTCTTTGCAACTTTAGGGATCTTATCAATGCACGAACAGCTTGTAACACTCCAAAGAGAAAGGAAAATTTGAAATGGCATCATATGACCCCTTTAATTTATATACTTATTCTGTTTTTTGTTAGCCATATAATGACCTCTTCACGGCTGATTTGCTTGACAGGGAGTCGACATGGAATCTAAGGGTGATGAAAAAGGCACTAAAGCAGAAACTTCCGTTAAGCAGTTTGGAGCCAACACACCGACAGTATCATGCACATTTGACCGTGAGTTAATTAAGGACAGAAATTTCAGAAACCTCTTTTTTTGTTCCAGAATGTCCATTGAGCTTGCTTTTTCTTCCAGAATCCAACACGTACCACTTGAGAGTCTATGTTTACCAGGCCAGAAACCTTACTGCTCTGGACAAAGACAGCTTCTCAGGTATTATCAGAAATATCAAAACTGCTATACGTCTTTTAATTATCTGTAAAAGTTTATTATAACTAAAATCATATTGGTTTAATTTGCAGATCCATACGTCCATGTGTCATTCTTACATCACAGCCAAACAACAGAGACAATCCGAAGTACCTTGAACCCGACATGGGATCAGACTCTTATTTTTAAAAATGTGGAAATCTGTGGCGATCCCCAGTCTCTTGCCCAGAATCCACCGATTGTGGTTATGGAAATCTTTGACAGTGATCAAGTGGTTAGTGTGATTTGTTTTTGGTAACACTCCAGTTTAGGGACCAGTTTTTACTATTAAAGGGTTAGTTCACCCAAAAATGAAAATTAGGCTGTGTTTTACTCACACCAGAGACATCCTAGGTGTATATGACTTTCTTCTTTCAGATGAATCCAGTCGGCGTTATATAAAAAATTGTCCTGGCTTATCCAAGCTCTATCATTGCAGTCAGTGGGTGTTGCAATGCTTCAGTCCAAAAGGAGTGAAATAAAAAGCGCCCATCCATTAAAAAAAGTGTCTCACACGGCTCCGGGGGGGGGGTGAACAAAGGCCTTCTGTAGCGAATCCATGCGTTTTTTTTAAAAACAAATATCCATATTCAAAACTTAATAATCCCTTTAATCTAGCTTGCGCCAACAGTTGTACACGGAAGCAGTTCCGGGCTGATGACGTATGAGGTCAGTGCTGCGCATGCGCCAGTGAGTCTTGTGAAAACCAACGTTTGTTTACAGGATCGAAGGAAGCAAAAGAAAACCAGTCTGCTCTTGGCTTATATCGAAATCCTCTGACATTCTTCTTTACAAATCCTCGTTTTGTACTTCTAATAAGTGGCCGTTGTTTTGATCTCTCCACTGCGTTTCAGCGTGCGTCACTTCTGAGCGGCGCATGAGCAAAGCCGACCTCATAACGTCATCCGCCCGGAGCTGCTTCCGTTTACAACAGTGAGTGCAAGCTAGATTAAAGTGATTATTACGTTTTGAACATGGATATTTTTCTTACAAAAATGCATCGATTCGCTATAGGAGGCCTTTGTTCAACCCCCGGAGCCGTGAG